AGCTTCACTGTTTATAACATATATTTTGTATCTGTTTAAAATATATTTTGGACAGAAAAAGTATTTTTTGCAATATGGGATCCTTCTCATCCTAAGACATCTGATTTTGTAGATCCAAACAGGCCAGACGTGACGTGACTGAACCCCTTCACTCAGGTCAGTAGGCTACTGGTGTTCCTCTCATCACTGATGGACTTGTGAGAACAGACCCCAGATCAGCAGCCCAAGGCCGTATGTTTGGCCCTGCTATGCCCTGTAAATCAGAACCAGGTGACAGAAACTCGCGGCGCTGTAGAATCAAATATCCAGAGTCGTCTGCTCCTCCCGCTCGTCTTCCTGTCTGTCTGCGTCGACATGTTTGCTCAGAACCCTTGCCAAACGCGAGAGGCGTCAGGATATCAGCATTCCCATGTGTTTGTCTGCGTTTGCATGTGAGTCGATGTTCTGGACTGACCTGTGAGCACCTCATAACTCTTGAGATCGTTTCTTAGTGCAAAAAGCCTTTTGTTTTCCAGTAAATGCATCGAAACATTGATTATGATTATAAGACCGTTTGCAGAGAATATCTGTGAAAAGGTTTTTTTTCTTCAGTTTTTGCATTTTTACATTTTTACTTATTTATTTATTTGTTTTGTTTTTTAAGTTGAGATGATCTCAAGTTCCATGTTTTGATGTGACATACATCCAACGTCTGACGTATGGATTATCAAAAATAAATAAATAAATATGTAGGACAGGAGCTTGGTTCCAGTCCTTTTAGTATTATTAATATACTTTTATAGTTTTTGTTAATATTTTGAATTAGATTTTATTTATACATTTTGTTTTCATTCTAATTTTAGTTAAAGTTTATTTATTTCAAGTAAATCCTTAAAATTGTATTTCTATTATTTAGTGTATGTATTTCAAGTCCTGCATATGTCGCCAGAGATAAGTCTGTCTTTTTACTGGAAGATCCAGTTATGACAATTTGATTAAACAATACTAGGTCAAAACATTGTTTAAAAATGAAATGTGCATGAATGATTGTTTACAATAAGACCTATCATGCATTTAGAAAATTAGTGAATTTTCATTACATGCCGAATTTACTCCTAAATCCAACAAAACTGTTGTATGTTTAAAATAAGAAAAATAAAACAATGTATCAATGCTAACAGGATTTTTTTTTTTTGCTGTGCAGCATGCATCTCTCCGTGTGATCTGTAGTTGTAATTTTCCATCAATATTTCCCTCTTTTTCCAGCTCGTCCTTTGGCCGAAATATTTCCCTCAGGCAGGAATTCCTCAGAATATCTGTTCACATCAAGTTGCTCTATTCATTTATGTGGAAACTCAACTTGCTTTTTAAAGGTTCTGAAGAAAATGTGAGTGGTGTTTTTCTGTGCAATACGTCCTAGCAACCATCCAGATGTTTCAAGTATCATGGCGGTGGGTTTTGCACAATGCAGACACTCACATTCACTGCCGAACATGTATAAATCTACTAAGAATAAGAGAAAAGAGCGAAAGCTGTAAGAATGATCAGTCATCGGTCATTTCTATAGGAGTATGGGAACGTGAGCTGTAGATGCGTGAGCTCAGGCTCTCACCTGATTACACATTACACATGCGCTCCGCTGAGGTCATGAGCTAAACTCGTTCTCAAGCTGTTTACTGTGTTGCTTTTATAAATGTGAGAGTGTGAAGAGCCGCTTTCAGTCCAGGCTGTTTCCATGCACTCGCACTGAACCAGCAAACATCAGCCTGTCTGATTGTGTTTGAGAGCATTTGCGTGTCTGTCTGTGAGGATTGATGGTCAATCACGTCTGACAATAAACATGAAAACATGTTCAGGACGTCCATTGAAGGTCTGTGCTGCTGATGCTGTTGCTCTGAAACTGCAAATTATTCATAAAGTAGTTAAGCTACAGTCAAAATACTCATTGAAAACATTTTCAGACAGATTCACAGCTTATTGACAGCTTTGTGTTTTTTCATTGGTCTCATTGTTTCCAAATACCAATTTGATAAAGTGAGCACCATTGGTGTTATTGTTTATGTTAATTGTTTTCGTTAATTGAAATAAAGCTGAAATAAAAGGAAAGATAAATATTAGATGAAAAACATCAACTTAAAAATGAGAAATGTTGTCTTGGCAATTAAGTGAAATGAAATGAGTTACAAAGTTACTAAAACTAAAACCAAAATAAAAATAAATTAAATGAAAGCTAAATAAAAATATACAAAAAACTAATAACGAATAATGACAAGTGCATGACAAAATTTCTAAAACGTAAAAAAAAAATTAAAATCAGGCCTAAAAATATACAAATAAAAGCTCATTCAAGTATAAATAGTAGAACTAAAAAAGAAAAAGAAAAAGAAAAATGACTTGATTTGAGATTTTCAGGTTAGTGGCATCAGTTCAGAAGACATTCAAAAAGCCAAGTAGAAATAATATTTGGCTTTGCTTTCATTTTCTGAAATAATCAGTTCATATTTCCAGACCTCCACAGAATCTGTACAGATTTCCACAGATTCGGGATGTCTGCCATCCATTATTCTTGTAAATGTATTAAATATTTGGCCTAATTTGATAATGTTTTGATTTGTAATCAAATCTATTCTAATCTAATCTAACAAACATTGTTGAATATTATGAATATTGTCAGCTCTGTGACGAGTTGTTTTACATAAAAGCATCTGCTAAATAAATAAATGTAAACATCTTTATTTTTGTTTGAGCCGGGATTAATAAAAAAACATTATTGTTAATTTAAAAATTAATTTAAATAAATCTGAAATAAAATATAAATATACGTTTATAACTTTTAACAAAAATTTGAAATATTGCCTAGGAAAATAACTAAATTAAATTTAAATTGAAGAACTACAATTAATAATGGGAAAGAAATAAAAACTAAAACTGAACATTTTCCTCAAAATTGCTCACCAAAGTTTTTTAGTATAATTTGTATGTATTCTTGTTATTATGATTCCTCCCCAATGAGAGTCAATGGCAGCTCTATGAACGGAACACAGGAAATTTATGAAAATTGGCACACTTGTAGTGGTGGTCCTGAATAGTGAACTGACCTTTGGGGTCTCTAGGACCATCTCTATAGCGCCACCACCAGTTCAAAAATTCACTTTTCAAACAATTACTGTATATCTTTTCAAACCTTTGTTCTAGAAAAATGAAATTAATAGTTAATCTGATTTAATTAGTTAATCTGATTACTCTCCTCATGCTGAACACATTCAATAGCTTACATGAAGACTCTGCCCATTACATTACATTTTTCGCTACTCCTCCTTCAAAATTTGTCCAATTCTTCCCAAAATTGGCAGAAATGATCTTTGGACTGAGCCGTACAGAAATTACTGAACAGAATTTTGATATTCAGCTTTGATTAAAAGTTATTATGTTGTGAACTTGGCGATGTTGACCCAAAAGTGGTTCAGAGGCTGTATCTCGGCCAAACTGTGATCAATCATAATATGCAATACGCTAATATGCTTCATCAACACCATGATCTGAGGGTCCATACCCAATTTGGCAACAGCGCCACCTATGGATTATGAGATACAAAAAAATGGCTATTTTTGCTAATAACCTTTGAACAGTTAGTAAAGAAATCATGATCTTGGTGTCTGCATTCCTTTTGCTAAGATTGGCTGAAGTGTCCGCCATTTTGAAATTTGTCATAAATTGAAATATCTTTTAAACCATTTGACATATCGGCACAAAAATTGGTTGGGATCATTGACAGCACGTCCTGGAGGTACCTTAGACGTTTGAACACAGTGCCACCTAGTGTTCCCAATATGCAAAAATGCTTATAACTTTTGAAAACATTGTCCAAATTTTGTTATTTTTATATTCTTTTATTCCCTGGGTTATGCTGATTCTGGCGACCTGTCATTTGCCATTCTTCATTAATGTGCCCTTCAGCCATATTGAAGTAATTTTTCGCTACTCCTCCTACGAAATATGTCCAGTTTTGTTGAAAATCTGATCAGATGATATTTGGACCGAGCTGCACAGAAATGACTGAACAGATTTTTGATATTCGCTACCATTAACGAGAAATACCTCACCGAAGTACACCATGCCTGTGTTTTTTTACTTATGCTAGTTAGTTTAGCATGCTAACCATTGCTATTTTATTTGTCTATTTCATTTTAGTAATTGTAGTACTTCAACATAAATTAATTTATTTAAATATTTGGTTACACTTTACAATAAGGTTCATTAGTTAACATTAGTTAACTACTTTAGTTAACATGAACTAAGAATGAACAACACTGCTACAGCATTTATAGCACTTAGTTCATGTTCATTTCAACATTTACTAATTCATTATTAAAATCAAACGTTGTGCTTGTTAACATTAGTTAATGCACTGTGAATTAATATGAACTAACAATAAACGACTGTATTTTCATTAACTCACATTAACAAAGATTAATAAATACTGTAATAAATGTATTGTTCATGTTAGTTAATGCATGAACTAACATTAACTAATGGAACCTTATTGTAAAGTGTTACCAAATATTTTTTATTTGTCTGTTTTAGTTGTAGTAATTTTCAAACTTCAACATACATTTAGAACGTTTTTCAAATTTATTTTTTATTTTTATTATTTTATTCAGCTTTATTTAAATTAACTTAATTGAAATTAATTAATTAACAACAAACTATTTTCGTTAGCAGTTCCACCACTGATGCTCACTGTATCAACCCGATAATTAGATGCATGAAATAATAAGTTAAACCCAAATGGCAAAAAAAAATAAATAAATAAAAAAATTAAAATTGCAAAAGCTAATAACACAATTAGTACAAAATTAAACTCAAAGCAAAAAAAAACAGAAAATATAAAAATAAAAGCTAATTTAAAAATATGAATAAACACTATAAATAATACTAAATTAACGCTGTTTGTGATGGTGTGGATGCAGGCACGTGTGAGCAATGGGTCTGATGTCCCATGTTGATGCTGATGTGTGCAGGATCTGTGCGGTCATCACTCGTGTGACACTCTCGGCATGGCTGACGTAGGAACCGTGTGTTCACCGGAGAGGAGCTGCGCCATCATTGAGGATGACGGGCTGCACGCCGCCTTCACCGTGGCACATGAGATTGGTAAACACACACACATGAATGAACATCTATGTGCACTCTCACACAAGCTGATGACATCACTTCCTGTGTGCAGGGCATCTACTGGGTCTGTCACATGATGACTCCAAGTTCTGCGTGGAGCGATTCGGCTCCACTGAAGACAAGCGGCTAATGTCGTCCATCCTGACCTCCATCGACGCATCCAAACCCTGGAGCCGCTGCACGTCTGCCACCATCACAGACTTCTTCGATGATGGCAATGGTGAGAAGCAATCGTGTTGGATCACATCAATTTGATGTTGCTTTTCTCAAAAATGTTGCGACATTATTTGGTAATGATTATAAGGCTAATTTCAATTTGATAGGATCAGATTCAAAACTGTTTTATGATACTGCTTGTTTTTGATGGTTAAGCAGCAATAATGTTGAAATCATGCAACATTATAGCAAAATGGGTCGCAAATTGTATTTCATGTTGACTAGTTTAATTTCCATTCTGGTTTATGCTAGTCAGTGTTTATAGTGAGCTGGTCAAGTATCAATTTAGTATTTATATACTGTCATAGTTCATATTCATAATTTGAATTTATTTGACTTTTTATGAATATTTTTAATTTATTAATATTTTATAGTTTTTATTTTATTTTGTTAAACCAGTCATATTAGACATTTTGTTATGTGCTGTGGTCTATTTATTCGTTTTTGTATTTAAAAAATGTTTTAAAATAATTTAAACTTATTTTAATTTACAATTGCAAACAAAATGCAGAATTTAGTTGATTGATAGATGAGATTTATACATCATCTGAAAGCTGAACAAATAAGCTTTCCATCGATGTATGGTTTGTTAGGATAGGACAATATTTGGCCGAGATACAATTTGAAATTCTGGAATCTGAGGGTGCAAAAAAAATCAAAATATTGAGAAAATCGCCTATTTAAAGTTGTCCAAATTAAGTTCTTAGCAATGCATATTACTAATCAAAAATTAAGTTTTAATTAATTACAGTAGGAAATTTACAAAATATCTTCATGGAACATGATCTTTACTTAATATCCTAATGATTTTTGCCATAAAAGAAAAATCTATAATTTTGACCCATACAATGTATTTTTGGCTATTGCTACGAATATACCCCAGCGACTTAAGACTGTTTTTGTGGTCCAGGGTCACATATATTAATTAGTGTGACTGTAACACAAAGCATGTTTTTGCAAATACTTTAAATAAAATCAATAATTTAGCCACAATGCAGTAGAAACACAGGCACCAAGGAAGAGGTTACACTCTAAAACATCAAGAGTATATAACAGACACACACTCAAACACATGCTCACTTACACACACTCACGGACACATACACACACACAACACTATTATACACACAAATGAACTGATGTGGCTGTAATAGTATGGCAAAATTGAGTCAGAAGATTCAAATAAGAGGTTGAAATCAGATTGATTAAGCTCTGATAAAGCAGTCCTGTTCATATTTTTTTTTATTTTTGTTGAACTTTGATGTTATGTGTAATAAAATGTCTTTCTTTGTGTTCAGGTTTGACTGTAGTAAAATTAATAGAAAAACTGACATTTCAAACCAACATTAAAAAAAAAAAAAAATCTAAACATTTACAAAAAGTTGTCTTTAAGAATGTCCAAATATAAATCCAAATCCACAACTTAAAAAAAAAAAGTATTTATGTCTAAAAACAACTTGAGAATTTATAAGCCTTTTATATAGAGCTCTATAGGAATCTAGTGGCTAAACCATGGAATTACATACGTTTTATTTATTTTTTTACTCCCACCAAATGGCAATAATCTGCCTTCAAAAATTGGATTATAAAGTCTCCATTTTAACATGAAATACTGCCATAATTTAAAGGTAATAGAAAAATATTAGAATTTTTTTATTATTATTTTCATTGGGAAATAAAAATGTATCTATTTGAAATGGAATAATTGCATAAATATTAAATAGTACCATGAAATTATCTCAAAATACAAAAATAAAAAATATTATTGAACAAAAGTATATTACATTGATTTCACTGAAAATAAAAAAAATTAAATTTCAGGTGTAACTTTTGACCACGAACAAATAAAGTGTGACTCCCAAATGAACAATAACAGAGGGTTAAAAAATAAAACAAACGTAGCGTCCATGACTCATTGGAAAAAAGTATCTTGTTATTGGACATTTTGTAACCAGGCATAGAAAAGAGTTTATTGACTATGTGGAAAAAATAAATAGAAATAGAAAAAATAAAGACATCTGCACACATAATATTGCTGTCAAATTTTATTAAGCAGCTTTTGGCAATGTGTTGATCTAAAATAGTAAGAAAAAAAAGAAAGAAAAAGAAATGAATACTTTTATTCATCAAGGCTGCATTAAATTGATCAAAAGTGATGTCACAGACATTTATAATGTTACAAAATTTTCTATTTCAAATGAATGCTGTACTTTTGAACTTTCTATTCATCAAAAAATCCTGAAAAATAAAATGAATCATGGCCCAAAATATGAAGCAGCACAACTGTTTTCAGCATTGATAATAATCAGAAATGTTTCTTGAGCAGCAAATCAATATATTAGAATGATTTCTGAAGGATCATGTGACAATGAAGACTGGAGTAAAGATGCTGAAAATTCAGCTTTGATCACAGGAATAAATTCGATTTTACAATATATTCAATAGAACACAGCTAATTTTAATTGTAATAATATTTCACTTTTTTACTATATTTTGATCAAATAAATGCAGTCTTAGTGAGCAGAAGAGACTTCTTTCAAAACATTAAAGGGGTCATATGATGTTGCTAAAAAGAACATTATTTTGTGTATTTGGTGTAATGAAATGTGTTTATGCGGTTTAAGGTTCAAAAAACACATTATGTTCCACATACTGTACATTATTGTTTCTCCTCTATGCCCAGCCTTTCTGAAACGTGACGATTTTTACAAACGCTCATCGTTCTGAAAAGCGAGGTGTGCTCTGATTGGCCAGCTATCCAGTGCGTTGTGATTGGCTGAATACCGTGTGAATACCGAAAGCGTGTGACGGAAATGATTCGCCCCTTACCATACTGTGATGCCCTGTCCCGGAGCGACGAGACAAAACCCATTATAAACGAGGCATTTGTTGCATCCAGTGGGGACATAATTACGGATTATAATGACTTATACTGTCTTTTGCCGCATAAACGTAAAACCATGTCTGCATTTGTGATCGGAGAAATGACAAACAACAAGCCCTACTCTACACTGCGAGTTATGCAAATCTTCCCACATCGTGACGTAGACATGTGGGGGCGTGTTTGAACGTGGCATTTTAGGAGGGCGTGGACCAGTCTTAACTTTTATAAAGAATATCTCTTTGGGTTTGAGACTTTAGTCTTTGCAACTTTATGGACCCCTTTAAAAAATCTTACTGATGCCAAACTATGCGTTTGGGATCAGTACTGTGCATATACAGAAAATCAACATTTTGCACACAATTTCTCCATAATCATCCTGACATATTGCTCTTGTGGTTTGTGTGTGTAGCTGAGTGTCTGTTGGACACTCCTCGTCTGCCTCTCTTGGGTCCGGAGGAGTTGCCAGGTCAGAGTTATGACGCGGTTCAGCAGTGCCATTTGGCCTTTGGGCCGGAGTACACTGTTTGTCCCGGGATGGACGTGTGCGCTCGTCTGTGGTGTGCCATCATCAGGAAGGGACAGATGGTGTGTCTGACCAAGAAACTGCCAGCTGTGGAAGGAACGCCATGTGGGAAGGGACGGATCTGTCTTCAGGGGAAATGTGTGGACAAAACCCGAAAGAGACACTACTCGGTAAGAGCAGAGATTAAGATTGATGCGAAATTTACAAATGACTTGTTTGTCTTCATAATCTTTAATCTTAATGCCTCTGAAATGACTTTCATTTCAACTTCTTTTCGATGTCATCAGTTCCTCTTATTTATCATCTTTTGAAAAAAATCAAGTCCCACAATATAGATTTTTCTTGTTGAATAACCCTTTTCACTTTGAATCAGGTCACATTATGTTAGTAAAACAGATTGGAAATTGCATTTCATGTTGACTAGTTTAATTTCCATGCTGTTTTATGTTGATCAGTGTTGATTTTGAGCTGGTCCAGTGTTATTTTAGTATTGCTTATATACTATTATAGTTTTTATTAATAATTCGAATTAGCTTTTATTTTTATGTAATACATTTTAATATTTCTAATAATGTTTTAGTCGTTTTGTTGTGTGCTTACTGCTTTTGTCATTTGTATCATGTTTTACTATTTCTAAATAGTTTTTATTTATATTTATTTCAGTTTTAGTTTTGTGTCTGTTCTTAAATACAAAATATTAGATATATGTAATATTTGGAATCAATTAATATTTTGGCAATATTTTATAATCAGGTTGGTTTTATTTTCATTTTAGTTTGATTTTAAGTGATTTTATGTGCTTTGTCATTTTTTTTATTTTGTATTTTAAAAAATATTTCTAAAACGTTTTCATGTTAAAACAATTTTTTTTTACTTTATTTCTATTTATTTCAGTTAGTTGCTGAGGAAACATTTCTAATTTTCACTTAGATTAAGCAAATGTTTATTAATACACATACACACACACACACACACACACACATATACACTGAACAAAATTATAAACGCAACACTTTTGTTTTTGCCCCCATTTTTCATGAGCTGAACTCAAAGATCTAATGGCGCTTTTCCACTGCGTGGTACGACTCGGCTCGGTACAGCTCAGTATGGCACGGCACGGTTCGGCTCCGCACGGTTTGCGTTTCCACTGCAGTTCAGTACCGCTTTAGAGTGGGCGGGATTATTCACATGTCGTTATAGTTGCGCCGCCTCTAC